AAGCCATCGCAAATGCAACCTGAGGCTTCCCCTCGTGTTACCTGGACAGTTCAGGCCCAGCGCTGCTGGAAGCTGCGGCTGAGACTCAACAGTAATGCACAACTAGAAACAAGAGTTAACGCCAAGTACTTAGATGCTGGACTAATAATTAAGGCGTGACGACGACAAATACGCTTATGTGCTTTAAAATATAAACTTTCTAAATGCATGCTTATATAACAGTACTTAATGTCAGCTGTACATATTAATAAAGTATTCTATCTTTAACTTAAAAAATAGTAAAAATAAAAAAATCTATGATTATACTTCTACAGGAACTTCAGCTACAGTCCTTAACTAAGGTTTAAATAAAACACTGGCTGTTCAGACCACCACGGCCTGGTGTGAGGGAACCTGAATTGAGACACTTGGGCTCAGCTTGGATGTCTCTCTTCATTCACTCATGTCACACTGTGGCCTCACCTGAAGTTGCTGCACACAACCCCCGACCCCTTCCTTAGTCTCTCTCTTACTTGCTGCGTTCACAACATTTACTATAATCTATAATTATTTTGGTAACTTAGTTGACTCTAGTTTATCATACATCTCTTCTCCCCATGCCCCCAAAAGACGTAAATTCCACAAGGGCAAAAACTGTTGACCTGTTTACTTCCTCTAGAAAAATTCCTGGCACATGTTAGATGCTTAAAAATATTTACTTCATAGATAAATAAATGATTTGAGGGTTTACTCTGTGCCAGATGCTAGGCTAATCTCTTTATGTATCTCACTTACCGCTCACCACACTCTTGTATAGTGGAATTATGTTTTGCAAGTTAGGACTCAAAGCACATAGTGGTTAACTTGTCCAGGGTCACACACCTAGTAAGTGAGGAGGCCGAGATTTGAATCCAGACACATCCAATGCTAATGCCCTGGCTCTCAGCTAGATTATATTGTTTCCATTTGAGGGCTGGCACTGTTGCAATCCTGGAACACACATATTTGGCTTTACGATTGAAGTTCTAGGTGAGCTGCTTTCTTCTTGTTGATCTTTCCTAACCCTCTGGTCCAGTCCAGGCCTTAGAGAAGCAGGGGGTCATCTTGAAGCGAGGGGCACCAGCATACAAAAACCTTCTTGGAATTCTGTAGGGAACCTTACACCATCAACATGCTGTGAAAGAGTCTGATGGTTTTTTGGTTTTGTTTTGTTTACTAGAGGCACACATGAGGGACAAACAGACCACATTCTGAAATAACAGGACCCTTCCTCTCGCAGGGGGTTCTGTTCACCTGGGGAATGAGACAGCAGCCCTGTGCGGGCCCACGCCCAAACACGCAATCTCCCTGCAGGGCAGAATGAGGGGCTGCTCCTGTTCGGTGATGCGGACAGACAGTGAAGGCTGGTTTGTGGACGGCAGCAAGCGCAGCACACGCAGCACGGAGCCTTCTGTTTGAGACCCGTGACAGGTAACAGAAGAGCTGGTTTCCCACGATGCCTGGCCAGATGAGAGCCCATAAAGGAAGGCCGCTGGGGCCAGCGAGAGGAGCTGAAGACGAGGAATGCCCTGCCCCAAAGTTGACCTGGTGGCCCACAGTCCTGCTCTTTTCCTATTCAATGGGGATTGTGTCCAGTGGGAGAAAGAGACCACGGGAATCTGAATTCTCATCCTGGCCTACAAGGTGATAGACATTTGGGCAATCTGAGCCTTAAGAAAAATGGAGCAGGAGGAACATTTGGGAAAACTGGACCCTAAGGTCATCGAATGCTTTAAACATTCAGATGGGGCCTTAGAAATAAAAGTGATTCTTGGCATTACTTTTGGTAAGAATCAATCTTGAACTACTCCTTGTTCAACTTTGTACTTGGACACAGGATAAATCTTGATTGCATTATGTAAAGATCTCGTTTGAACTGTTATTAAAAATTCTGAAATCCAGGAAAAAACAACTCCAAGGCTTAAAGAAGTCACTCTGTACTAAGTTTAAATCAAACCTCCGAACATCTGAGCTATATGCTGACGTGCAGCGTTGTCCCACTCGACAGCGCTATATTTACAGCCTGAGACGATGGTGCTCCGGGTGGCTGTTTTCATGTGGGAAGTCACACTAACACCCCTGGACCACCTGTATATATTTTAAAGCTAGCTCTTCCCTACCAGAAAACGATTCAGTTTGAAACTTTTAGAAAGAGGTGATCTTGAATGTCAAGGTGTTATAAAAAGATAAACCACGAGCTGCCCATGTTCACAGCCTGCTGCCCAGCTGGGCACTCAGGGCAGGCTTGCTTGAGCCAGTTTTATTAACAGAAAGCTTGATAAATGCTCACCACTAGAAATCCCCACTAGGGATTTCTTTTAGGCTTACACTTTGAACCTACTCAAGTACAGAATATCATTATACAATTTTGTTATGATTACTTTTCTCCCTTCCTTCCTTCCTTCCTTCCTTCCTTCCTTCCTTCCTTCCTTCCTTCCTTCCTTCCTTCCTTCCTTCAATTTATATGGAAGACATTAGTTAGTAAAATTATATAGGTTTCAGGTGTATAATTCTATAATACATCATCTGTATGCTGTATTGTGTGTTCATCACCCCAAGTCAAGTCTCCTTCCATCACCATTTATTTTGAAACAGCATAGACAGACCTGGAGAATATAATGCTCAGTGAAATGAGCCAGACAGAGAAAGACACGTACCATATAATTTCACTTATATGTGGAACCTAATGAATAAAATAAACTAACAAAATAGAAATAGATCCATAGACACAGAAAACAGACTGACAGCTGTCAGAGGGGAGGGGAGCTGGGGGGCTGGGTGACAAAGGTGAAGAGATTAAGAAAAAAGCAACTCACAGACAGAAAACAGATGGTGATTACTGGAGGGAGAGGGGGTGAGGGAGATGAAAGACGGTAAAGGGGATGAATGGTGATGGAAGAGGACTTGACTTGGGGTGAGGAACACACAGCACAACTTTTCAACTAAACATCATTTAGGAATTAGGAAGCCCATGGCTTTAGCAATAACTCTCCAATGCGCGCATAAAAATACACGGATTTGGGTCAGGCTTTTGCAAACTAAAGGGGGTTACCCCAGGAGTGTGGGTCATCTTCTCAGCTTCTTAACTTGGGGGAAGTTGGGTTCCTGAGCTATAAAATGAGAGGATGGGATTAAAGGATCACTCCCATCCTTTCTAGCTCCAGTGCTCTACTGAAAACGGGGGGTAGAATGGCCAAGACCTAACACTCACATGTGAAATATTGGTTGGAGGTCTCTGGATTGCCAACAGATTGAACAAGAAGTCATCTGATAGTCTTGGCATAAAGTTCCTGATAACCTTCATTATTTTGGGGAAGAAAAACCCAACTAATTACAAACTCATTTTAAAATGTATGGTTTTAATAAATGAGTTGCTAATGAAGTTAATGGCCAGCCAGGAGTCCCTTCCTTTTACTAAAACATCTAATAACTTTCCGTTACCATGACTTATTCTTTAATAGAAAAATGTACATTAAACATAGATTTGTAATGAACCACGAACATTAAAAAATAATGCTGACATACCCCAGTGCCTTCATGCTAAACTTACAAAATTGAAGGGACACTAGAATGGCTCTTTATGCATGAAAGAATTCTTCACAGGAAGTTTCATGGTAGGGTTTACAAATGCCCCTTGAACCGAGAACTCCTCTAGTGGGTACTTAACTTTCAAGGCGGCTCTCCACTGTGAAGCAAAGCTCTTCAATATTGCATTTGCTCTAACGTCATATACTTGATAGAGTTACCAAAATTGTTTTAAGGAGAAGGTATAAATTATCAGTAAATGAACAAATATATGTGTTAGGCTTTTAGTCTATGATTGATATCAGGGCAGCAACTTGAGTAATTAGATTTTGAAAGTAATTCATGTGAAAGCAATAACAAGCAAAGTTGGGAATCTGCCACTCGATTATTTAATTTCTTTCTCCTGCTCTGCCTATAAATCAAAACATTCTCAAAATGGTAGGCATCATTAAAAACTGAATTTAAAAATTCCTGAAAAATCCAGATTCTAAATGGAAAATAGGTCGTTTTTGTTGTTGTTTGTTTGGTTTTAAGAAATCATTGTGTGGTAAAGATTACCCAGATTTCAGCACTATTAACAGAGTTGTCAAGTAATGTGTTTATGGAAGAAAAGTAGTGCTTTGTGAGCCATCTATAAACTTGCTAGTGTGTTGTATAGTGTCAGTTATTGAATGCTGCCTCACGTCTTACTTCCCTTAGTGCAAAGTGATTCATTATGAGTGGGTGGGAACATCTGGCCATTTTATTAGGCCTTCTATTTTAGTTGTTCCTGATCTCTCGTATGTGCTACTTTACTGAAATTTTGTTTCTAGATAGATTATATTATCTGTGAATTTTATTTTAGCGTTTGTTGTAAAAATGAAGCATTGGGTCAGGTAGTTTTGAGGACCACTGATTTAATACATTCTAGTACAGTTTCCTTATTTTTCAGAAAGGAAGTGGGACTGTAGAGATGAAATGACATACCCAAGGTCATACAGTTGATTAAGAAGTTGCATTTGTAGATAAGTTAATATATAGCTATAGCTATTAACATTCCAGATTCTAACACCCTGGAGGAATGTTATTATTCTGTAACATAATATAAAACACTACCCTTTAATAACATTTCTTTTCCTCACCAATTATCCCTCCCTTATCCCAGCAGAGGTGTCTAGAAAGAAAATTTCTTTGAACTTGGAATTTCCATTTTCTTAGTGACCCTAATATAGACTAGACCTGTGTTTTTAAGAAAAAATAATCCTTTGACTTAGTGCAGGGCTAGACTGAGCATTTATTCTTTGGCTCCCAGAAATTCTCCCCCCTCCCACCACCCCGCAGGGTGACTGAACCCGTGTGCGCCGAAGAGCAGCCTTTCACTTCCGAACTATGGACAGGAGCAATGGCTGGGCCAGGAGGGTCCCCCCGCACCCTTTTCTTCATGTCTCCCTAGGCAACTTTACTTAGAAACTACTGACCTGTGGCCCCGCGGAGTGCCTTCGAGGGCTCCTCGAGTATCGAGATCTTTCTCTCCCGAGGGGTCAGGCCCGGCTTGTCGCCGGCCGAGTCGGTGGACGAGCCGTCCTTCTCGCAGCCGGTCAGGTGGCCGTTCTGGATGTGCGGCGGGGGCGGCTGCGGGGGCCCTGCCTCGGGCCTCTCCGCCTTGTCTTTAGCATCTTTGTTGCCCGGATGCTGCTTGGATTTGCTTCTTTTTCTTTTATTGTTCTAGAATGAGACGCAAATGAGAAGAGAATACTGTTTAGCTCAGGCCCGTGAAATGTAAGATAAACCTGAGAAACCAAAGTAAGATGTCAGATGAAGGCTTTGCTCTTCAACACATTTGGAAAGGAAATAAATAAAAAGAAACAGCTTCCTCTTCTGAAGCTACTCCCTTTCTTCTCCTTTGAAGCCAGGACATGCCCTGAGCGCGGGCAGCCCTGGAGAAGTGAGAGGAGTTCACTCCCGCACTGGGGCGGGAAGGGCCGCACCCGCTCCCCCAGGAGCCCCGCAGGGGCCCCGCGTCCCCGGGCTGGGGAGACCGTTTTCCCACGGAGCCCCTAGGAGGGAGGCTGCTCCTTTTTCACATCCGAGAGCGCCACGGCCAAACCACACCGACACGCTTCCCTGTAACGTGACTCCGGCCGCTCGGTCGCCTGTGAACCATCCCCGCCTCGCACAAAAGCCCGGGAAGCTACGGTAAAAGCCGAGCAGAGACTGTCAGATGGTGGCTCGCAAAGACCACAAAATAAACCTCCTAATCCTTCCTATTCTATATGAGAGTAGGGAGAGAAAAAGGGGAAAGAAGAACTGCAGTGATCTCGGGGTTTTAGGAAAGTAACGCTGCTCGTTTGTTCTGGTTAGAACCTGTCTCGCAGGCCTGGGACCTTCGCGCCGGGAGGAGGCCAGGCTGGTGTTTCTGCCCCGCGACACCCAAGCTCGGGCCTGCTGGGGGCGGTGGCAGTGGGTAGGGCGGGAACTTGGGAAGCCGAGGGCTTCCTGTGAGGGCCATGAGGCAGGCGACACGACAGCAAGGCCAGGAAGGGGCCCGCTGGAGACGCAGGGCCAGCGTGCGCACACGCTCCCCGCACATGTGTCCAAGGCCCTCTTGGCGACTAGACGAGAAAGCAAAATATTGGGAACGGGACAGTTAAAGTCTTCCTCGTTTTCAAGGAGGAGTCTAGTCTGCCAGGGTTCTCAGGAAGGAAAAGGAGGTCCCTTAATATGATTTTAAAGTATTTTCTTTTATTAAAAAAAAAAAAAAAATCTAGCTTAGAACTCAGCAAAAAGGCATCTCAGTGCAGCTTTGGACAGATTCTTTCAGTTGGAAAAACATGTGAAAATGTATTTAAAGCTTTTCCAAGGAGCTTTAAAACACTCCCTAATTTTCCCCTTTGTGCTACAGGATCTGTTCAGGCAAGTTAATGTCTTCAAGCCTTTGAATTCTCAGGCTAGGCTCTCCTTAATACTTAAAAAGAAAAATTCGAGGACTTCTAAAGCACACCTGGTGGTTAAAAACACCAAACAGAAAACAACGGCCTTAGCAGTGAGGGTGGCTGGTAACTGCAGAGAGTCATGAATTTGGAAGCTTTCTGGGTTTACATATTAACATATTTGAAAGAGGCATAAAATTGGCAGCCTTGTTAAAATGATAACAACAATAAAAGTTTTGATAGAAGATGTTACTAATTTACAATCAATATTAATCTTACCTTCTTTTTTCCTGTCATATTCCATTCTTTTAGAACTTGAATTGCACTGCCTAGACAAAGACAAAGGGTCTTTAATGCGTATTCACATAATAAAACACCGCACAAAATTCATCTCCATCTTTTCATCTTGGTAGTAATTTTTTTCTCGGCTTTTTCATTTGTTTTGATACGTCCTACCTTAATAAAAATGCCAGTTTCGTGTTTTACTTCCAGATTTTCATTTAATTCACTGCATGATCTTGGTTTTATCAAAATATTAAGCCCTACGACATGAAGCTTACTTTTTTTATCATTATGTTGTCTTTGAGAAAATGAAATATATCTTGAGAGTTTTCTGATAGCTTCATTGCCATAAGTAGAATTAAAATGGTTCTGTTTGATATATGAATCAAAATACCTATAATCTTCTGGACCAAACGTGGGATTTTGAATATTATTAACCGTGTGAATCATAGCTTTTGGTGTGGCGATCCCTGCTCTTTTTTTCTGCCTCTACTATGTTCATAACTTGCAGGGTGGTAAGGAGGACAGATTACCTGGCGTTAGTTTCACTCTCATCACTGTGGAAAGGGATGGGATGTGGTCTTTTCAAGGAGTGCACCTTGAAACAAAAGGAGCTCATCAAAGGACAACTGAGTCCCAGGTTCTGTCAATGCTACTCTCACACATATGTGGAACTGCACAGACTCAGAAGAAAAGCCTAACCTGACATGTTAGGCTTTTACCATTGCTCAGCTACAGCAAATGTTTCCACCTATTTTAACTAAGTTCTTTCACTCATTCCAACTGTGCTGGGGGTCATTTCAACAATAACTTATTGGTAACGAGTACATCAGTTTTTTTATTGTTTCAATATATTTTTATTGATTTCACAGAAAGGAAGGGAGAGGGAGAGAGAGATAGAAACATCAATGATGAGAGTCATTGAGCAGCTGCCTCCTGCACGCCCCCTGCTGGGGATCGAGCCCGCAACCCGGGCATGTGCTGTGACCGGGAATCGAACCCGGATCTCCTGGATCATAGGTTGATGCTCAACCACTGAGCCACGCTGGCTGGGCAAGAGTAGCTTTTAAATGTATTCTTTTAACCATCCAAGCATGCTCATACAATCTCATTACACTAATTATTCTCTGCAGTGAGTGTGTTGGCCAAACAAAGATAAACTGCAGCCTGGCCTTTATACCAAATTTCAAATTAGTAGGGTTCCAATTATTGAGTCTACTGTCACTGTTGGATAAGCAGAGGCCATATTGCTTTGACTGATGTTTAGAAGGGCTCATTATTCCTATTTACTCAAAGTTTCCAATTCAGTGCCCTTCAGAGGCTTTTGGAGTTACATGTACTTGAAATAATACAACTGCACTTAAAAATAAGCTATAATTCAGACTTTTTATTAACTGGGCTTGCCTTCCTCTAATTTTCCCTGAGAATGAATGCTTCCCAGTATTTTCCTTTTGAAGAACTTGGGGAAGTCACTTTCATTGGTTTTCTTGTAAGTCAATCAGCAGCTAATAATCAGTAAGGTAGTCCTTACTTATAGTTAAGCTTCAGTTTTCTAAATAAAATTTTAAAAATGTCAAAATCTTGTCCTTTTTAATCAGAGGGAAGAGATGAGTTGCTTCCTGCTTTCAACTGCAATATTCAATTATTCCTCTGGTTTTCATATTTTGACATAAATTCTATTCACAATTTTTAAAAAATTGAGCTTTTAGAGAGTAATTTTGAAGAAGAAAGATCCATGTTTATAGATAACTTTGAAACGGTTATTATTAAATTTTAATTATACTGAAAATGCTTGGAGTTTTTTAGGCCACTCGGAAATAGTGCTTTTAATACGCCACGTAAATGACTCCTAATAAATATTTTTGATTCTCAGTGGTTTTTAAACAAGTTGTCTTATTGGTCCCCAACCACAGTGCCACGAGGTTCTCAGCGATCAACAAGGTTTCTTTGTTTTGTTTTTTAATGACGCCTCGACACTGACAGGTGAACATTTGAAGGACAAGCAGGTGCTCTGTTTAAACACAGACAGATCTGACGACAGCATCAGTTACCGAGCATCTGTGCACCTCATCAGGGCCCCTCTGTAATAACACTTTCACTGTGGGGCCGCAACCCAAGGGAGGGTGGGGAGGGAGGCGGATAGGAACCTTCTTTCTTTGCTAAAGCTCTTTCCATGCGAGTGATGTTGGCAAGTGAAACCTGCAAAGAGTTTATCTGCGCCAGGATGTGCATGGTTCCAAAGCTTTTTTCTCGAGACAAACTGCACCGATTGCTGCAACGCCAGATTAATATTGCGCTCTCCACTAGTAGTTTTTTATGACTAAAGATTCTCTATCTGCTAGTCCATGAATCAAGGTAAAACAGAAAAGCTATGCACTATGAGTCTGCTTGCAGGTGTATTTTGAATGATAATCATTTTTTAACTCAATTAGGGCCTTAAACCTTGGCTGTGGACATCAGAATGTGAGCATGTTACCTGGCCCCAAGACCTTGCCTGAAACGCAATTATACTTGTAGCAACTTAGGGAGATTACTCTATTCCTAGGAGATTACTCTACTCCTACTCTACTCCTTTATCCTTAATGGATAAAGTGTGAACAGGATATAGCTGAGAAAGGTGCTGCTAAGTCTCCCCTGGCCTTGTCTGTCAGGTTATGTTTAGCTAGTTCAGATTTATAAAATAGAAACCAGCACCAGAAGAAGGCACTACGAGAATCAAGGACAGGTTGAGATCTTGTTCATAAATGAAACATTTTATTTGATTAGAAGAGAACATCCCCAGAGTGTACAGGAAATCTAAAGCAGTAAGTTATACATTTATAGATTAAAAACATTCTGAGACTTGAGAGTCTATAACATCACTGGCAATGGGCTGTCTAAACAACAATTTTTTTTTAAAAAAGCAAAAAGGTTCTAGAAGTGGACAAGATGAACAAAGATTCTGATTAATTAGGCAAACTTGAAATAAAAAAGTAAGGATATTAAGGAATAAACCCATCCTCTCAGGTACAAAAGCATTACATTCAAGGATTCCAGTCATAAAGCCGAGTAAAATGGCCCTGGTTGATGAGAAGACTTTCCAGGTCGGAAATGAGGTCCACTTGCCTCCATTCACCAGGACACCGTCAAATAAAGCACATGCTTAGTAACAACTGTGAATGACTGGTAGACAAGGGAATTAACAGTACGGCAACAGGAATCCTTTAGAAAATATTTAAAAATATCTACAGTGTTTCTGTTAATGATGAAAATAACTCATGTTCTTATTGAGCATGTATTGTGTTTTTAAAGATGCATACATATACATTTTTTAATATACCTTTATTGATTTCAGAGAGAGGAAAGGAGGGGGAGAGAGAGAGATAGAAACATCAATGATGAGAGAGTCACTGATTGGCTGCCTCCTGCACGCCGACTGGGGATGGAGCCCGCAACCCAGGCATGTGCCCTGACCGGGAATCGAACCCCGATCGCCTGGATCCTAGGTCGACGCTCAACAGCTGAGCCACGCCCGGCTGGGCTAAAGATGCATATTTTTATGCGAAAGTATTAGTAATGAATTGGTACTCAAGTGCATTTAAGGAAAAACATACAAAAATACACAGAATACTTAGTTCTAACATCTTCAATTCAGGGGACGTGTACTTACCATCCACGAAGGCTTGCACTGCCTTATCTACATTAAAGTCAAACTGCTGGAGCACCAGGACTATTTCATTATTGCTTTTGTTGGGAACAACTGATCGAACTGCATAGATCTGTAAAGGAAAACAAAGGAAGCTGAAAGGGAAACATATAAAGATGTTCCATTCCTGAATTTCTCACTGGATAGAACTATAACTGTTAGAAAGGCTTTGAGAAGCCACTTAATCTTGCCATGAAGCATACTCAGGCATTTCAGACCAGTAAAGATTCATCCTGGTAATCACCTTGATACCCACTTTGTTGTGTACACATTTCTTACAAAGGTCCCCTTGTTAGGACTTTAATAGCAAGTGTGAAAAGCCAACTCTGGTTTAGTCATCTACCCTCCCGTAAGACTCCAGATGCACACAAGACGTGTTTGCAGTGAAGACACAGATGTCTTCTGTCTCAGGCCCTCCTCTCCACTGGCTCGGGGGGGATCTTGGGAAAACATGCAGAAATAGCTTCATGCCCCGCTTCTCTTATCTGCACAGTGGAAACAGTCATCTTGAGGTTCACACAATGTGTTGTGAAACTCCATTAATGTTTATAGAGACATAAAAATGTAGGCATTGTATTTTTGAAATGGCAGTCTTAGCCATAACACAGAAAATGTTCCCAAACAACTTCTGAAAACCAAACATTTAAAGCACAGTAAAGTAAATACACATGTGAGCTCTAAGGATTTCAATAGATTAGGTTGATAGTCAATTTTTAATGACCTGTACATATTTCTTGTGAAATTTAGCACGTATTCTTTCATCTGGCTTAATCGAATGAACTGATCTTTACCTCACAGAACTTGCAATTTCTATAGGATGCTCTACTTTAGTAAAACCTGGCTCACCAGCTGTCTATCAAGGGGATTACTGTAGCTGCTGCCGACAAATACTAGAGTACTGCATGGTGCAAAGGTAAGTGGCATCGTAAGGATGATCATGAAAGCACTGCACGATCTTTATGTATTTACATCAATGGTGATTTACGGCCAGTTGAGTTTGCGAGTTACCTGCAGTTTATTGTAATCAGACTCATGGCATACATATTATATGTGTCTGACATGTGTAATGTGACTCAATTGACTAGACAATTTAATTGAGCAGTATAGCCTATTTCCTAATTATGTTAAGAAACACGTAGTCTTCTCCATATAGAACAGTATGTAAGAGTATTTAGCTTATAATGAGAAAACAGTACAATCTATGGGTATATGACTTGTAGAGGTTCTGACACTATAGGTAAGAAAGTTGGTTTTGAATCTTAACAATCATAAATGCTAACTATGTGGGTGTTACTGAGGACTCTAATACAATATATGTATTTGCATATATGTGACTCAAGATGCCTCCATTTTTTTTTCTATTCTCACACTTTATGGTTCTTAGTTTTTCTAGCCTCTATATTAAAAAACAGTAACTTCTTCAAATCTAAGTTCTTTCTCACTGTCTCGCTTTAAAAATCCATTCAGTGAATATTTTTTGGATACTTACTATGTAACAAGGCACCAAACTTTCTGGAACTTATAGACTAGAGAGAAGTGTACATGTTGATCAAATGATCACGCAAATATATATTTATACCCTGTGATAAAAACGATAAAATCATATGACAGGGAGACATGCCTTTATGTAAGTATGCTGAGATGCTAAGTGAGACAAGATGAGTGGGAGGTAAGGGGAAAGGCATTTTAGGCAGAGGGACCAGCATGAGCGAGGAGCAAGGCACAGAAGAGGGGAGGGTGGCTGGAGGTGAGTGAGGAGGGAGGCAGTGGGGAGGCTTCTAGAGTGTAAGATGGGGCCAGAGATGGGCAGGGACCAGATCATGCAGGCCCTACAGGGCTGTGCAAAGGATCCGGTCTTGTGAGCATCCCCCAATGATCCTTTGTTAAATTGTCCTTTATTTTTCATTGATTGTGTTAAAAAGATAGGGCACTGTCTCTCTCTCTAGAGAGAGAGAGAGAATTATATATATAATTTTGTAAGTTAAGGTGTTGATTTTGTACTTTTATATATTGCAAAATGATTACCACCATAGCATTAGCTAACATCTCTGTCCCATCACATAATTACCTTTTTTAATTTTTTTTGTGGTGAGAACATTTAAGATCTACTCTCAACAACTTTCAAGTACATAATATAGTATTATTAGCTATAATCACCATGCTGTACATTAGATCCCCAGAACTTGTGAAAACTTATAACTGGAAGTTTGTGCCCCTTGACCGATATCTTCCCATTTCTCTCTCTTTTTAAAAGAAGCCAAGATGGAGAGAAAAACAAGAATAAAAACAGTTGTGTCCAACAATAAATACCAGTGCATTGGAGTTGTATATAATATTACATGTTGCCTTTCCAATGTAGTTCTTTTAAATAAAATTCTAGCATTTCAAGTTTCTGTAGTTGGTTAGTGTTATATAAAATTTCTTAATAATCACCATTAGTATTACCACATCAGCCATGTCCTTCTAAATAATACAATGCTTAATTATTAATTACATCAACTACACTATACATGGGTTTGAACTGTGCAGGTCCACTTGTACTTGGATTTTTCTAAATAAAAACTGTAAATGTATTTTTTCTTCCATATGGTTTTCTTTTTTTTTAATGTTTTTATTGATTTTAGAGAGAGAGCAAAGGAGAGGGAGAGAGAGAAACATTGATTCCAGAGAGAAGCATCAATTTGCTGCCTCCTGCATGGCCCCTACTGGGGATCAAGCCTGAAACCCAGGCATGTGCCCTGCTCAGGAAATCCAGCGGGCGACCTTTTGGTGCACAGGGATGACGCCCAACCAACTGAGCCACACTAGCCAGGGCCATATGATTTTCTTAACATTTTCTTTTCTCTAGCTTACTTTAGTATAACACAGAATACATGCAACATACAAAAATGTGTTAATTGTTTATGTTATTGGCTTCCAGTCAATAGCTGGCTATTAGTAGTTAAGCTTTTGGGGAGTCAAAAGTTCATCTCGAATTTCTGACTGCGCAGGAAGGGGGTGCATGTCCATAACCCCTGTGTTGTTCAAGGGTCAACTGTAGTTACATTAGACCAGGGTTTTCAAACCACCTACACAGCTGTGTGATCAGTAAAGACCCACAATTATGGAATAAACATAAGCTAACTGTTCTACCTGTTTAGGGTCTGTCCTCTACAAAACATAATATACTGTATCATGTTAAGACAAAACACAGTATAAACTACGGCTTATAGAGACACTTCCTTTTTAGATGTCTATACGACTCTTGCCTATTCCACGTTAAAAAAAATACAACCCTGGTCAGATACAGTAAACATCTATCCTTGTCATTGTATACATCTGAGCTCTGAACATATCCTTAGAGAACTGTCAACAACTGAATTCTAGTATCAAATCTAACTATGAATATTGGATACGATTCCCAGAGGAAGATACTTAAGACAGAAATATCAAGGTTTTTAAAAAATGAGAGAAAAAGGGAAAAAATAGTTTCTGCTTACTCTTAGATATTCCATGGCAATGTTGAATTCTAGTGAATTTCTGGCCAAGCTCTGTTTCAGCTTAGCTGATGTGAAGGATGTAGCATTGTTTCTCCACCTTATTTGTATTCACCACATTAATTTTCCGATGAAAATGTCTTTGAGAAAGTTGGTGGAATTGTGTGCATTCATATGTGCGCATAAAAATACAGGCACCTCAAAGTGTCACTATTCATGACGCAGCANATGAAAATGTCTTTGAGAAAGTTGGTGGAATTGTGTGCATTCATATGTGCACATAAAAATACAGGCACCTCAAAGTGTCACTATTCATGACGCAGCACAGTCTTAAGGGGCCTAAACATTTAAACCTGACAAAGACCTCACAATGAAGTAGCCTTAACTATAAGGAAGGGGTAACAAGGGCAGTGTTACAGTGAGGCTGTGCTGAAAGGCAGCCTTTGCATTTGGAAATGAAGCCCCCGGAGGAATGGATCAATCAATGCGTGACTAATGGTGGTTTGCATACGGGGAAGTCATAAAATTCACCGCAGAGGCTGTTTCTGGCGCTGCTGCAGACAAACAGCCCCACAGCCCGAGCCGATTTCATGTGCCTGCTGCTGCAGCTTCACACGAAGCCCCCTATTCAGAGCCGCACTTGACTGCATCCCCCCGGGTTCTCGTGCCATCAACCGAGTGGCCCAGTAGGGCCAACCGGCAGCGGTGCAGGCTGTCAGGTGACCGTCGGGACCCCTGGTTAGCAGTTCATTTAGCAACTGCTTTGCCTTTCCCAAACCACGNCTCGTGCCATCAACCGAGTGGCCCAGTAGGGCCAACCGGCAGCGGTGCAGGCTGTCAGGTGACCGTCGGGACCCCTGGTTAGCAGTTCATTTCCCCTGCTTTGCTTCTGAATTAAGTCTGATCTGGCAAATTCAATTTGCTTTTGAGAAATCTGCCTTCTGCACCTCAAAAGTTGTTTTGATTCAGCCTTCAGCGTTTTAATCTCGCCTTCCCTCCTCTCTCTGGGGCTTTCTATCTGGCTGCGCAGGTTTTGCCCCAGTCCGCCTCCGGCCCGCCTGCTGGCATTTCGCCCTCACTGAGCAGCGAGGCCCGTTTGATTCCAGCTCCCTGCATTAACCTCCCTCCTCTGGACCTGAGCTGTCTGGTTTTAGAGCTGTTAGCAGGCTTCCTCATTCACACTGGGCATTTTTTGAGCCTGTCTGTGATGACTCCTTAGACATTCTTCTTGCCTTACCGATGAGTCATTTAGACTATGTCTGAGTTTCAAAAATGGTTCTGATCAAAGTGTCCAGTCCACCTACACAGCTGTGTGATCAGTAAAGAGCCAGTATCATCAAATAAACATAAAATAGCCGCTCTCTCCGCTCCCAGGCGCTCCCCTGCAAACCCATCCTGAGGCTGCTGCCAAACTGCTCTTCCTAAAGTTTAATTGTGACCATTTTACCACCTTCCTTTCTTAGAATAGAAGTCAGTCTCTACAACCTGGCATTCAAGGCCATCAGCAACTGGGCTCCAATCTGCTTTTCCAAACACCCTTCTTGCTCTGCCCTTTACCAACAAGCACAAGCCCAGTGGGGCTTCCCACTCACCTGTG